TGACATGACATAACATAACATAGCCTAACATGACATGACATAACATAACATAGCCTAACATGACATGACATAACATAACATAGCCTAACACAACATAACACAACATAGCCTGATATGACATAACATAACATAGCCTAACTTGACATGGCATGATATAACATAACAGCCTAACATGACATAACATAATATGGCCTAACATGACATGACATAACATAACATAGCCTAACATGACATAACATAACATAGGCTAAAATGACTTGACATAGCCTAACATGACACGACACAACACAACATAACATAACATAACATAACCTGACATGACATGACATAACATAGCCTAACATGACATGACATGACATAACATAATATAACATAACATAGCCTAACATAGCCTAACATGACATGACATAACATAACATGACACGTCATGTTAGGCTATATTACGTATGTCATGTCATGTCAGGCTATGTCATGTTTTGCATGGGGCATTTCATTACTATATTGCGCAACTTTGAAGGTAAATCAAATAATTACATGTATTTTCTTTTATTAATGATTCTCCTGTTGCATCAAGGCACAAAGTCTGGTTCTAACTGTCGTAGTGTTTAGGAGTGTGGATCCTCGCCCTACACAGAAACTCTAAAGGTAAAGTTGTTTTTATAGTTTCTGCTTTATGTTATGACTGCAGCTAACGGAAAAGCTCTCGGATCATCGCAGGGTGGTCTGTGACTCAAAACAGACCTCACTCACGACGAACGTGCCTTTTTAGGAATATGGATGTAGGGAGAAAGATGACAAGAGATGAGAAGGAAGTTTTATTGGTTTTGCATTCCTAAAATATTTGACTATTACCAAGACGGGATGGTTTTTGAAGTCTTTATTTAAGGGAGAATCCTGTTGTTACTGATGCTGCTTCTCACCGCAAATGCTTGTTATTGCAATAAAAGTTACAATGACAGATGTCTGGGGTTTAGAGCACTTTGATCATCATGACAAATGAACCTATGCACTAACAAAATATTTCTGAAGTTTCTCTTTAATATGAAGGGTCACAGTAACAGCTCATCCCGCTGTTTGAAGCATGCATAACAACATTGCTAATAGCAGCCTACTCGATTATACCTGAATATATACATGTCTGAGTTTTATTAAGGACAGATCTGTCAGGTTGGTTTCAGAAGCAGAAATGCTAAACGTGTCAGTAATCGTTTCCAGACGGTATATAATTTCTTTTGCAGCCAGTAGTAAATTCCCAGTTTATACTTCTTGAGTCCTCGTAGGCTCATATGTCAATCGATAATTACATTGTGTTTATTTACATTCCATATGAATAGCACTTGTGAATGTGTGCAGCGGTTTAGGAGCCAGTCAGCAGGGAATGTGACATCAGATATGACATCGGTGAGGAAATATATCTAATATGTGTGCCATTTCTTTTGTTGTATTTGATTTTTTTAAAAAAATTTGTATATATTTTTTTATTTTATTCATGCAGACCTCTTTTAAATACTTCTTTTATATACTTCTTGTCGCATCTTAGCACTTTGTTCTGTTTCATTTGTTCAAAAAAACTTATTTTATAGCCTATACTTTGCATTCAGTTTCATCTCTTCTTTTCATTATTTATTTTGTATTTCACCTCACAATGTATTTTTGCCTCTTCTCTTTGCTTTACATCTCATCTCTTCTCTTCTTGTCATCTCATTTACTCTTTACTTTTATTCTTTTGTCTTTTCTCAACTTTTATTTCCGGTCTCTTTACTTCTCATCTCATCTCAGCTTTCACCCCTTTACATTCCCTTCCTGTCTCAACTCATCTTTCCTCTGCACTTCATCTCATTTCACAGACAGACATTTGCAGACAGCACTCTATCTATTCTGTCATGTGGTTTGACATGTGACTGATTCTTTTCCTTGTTGTTTCACAGCCATTTATGTGTGTGTGTGTGTGTGTCATAGGGACTGTGTGACACTTGATCCCTTTTATGCAAACAGCTCCTTATCTCTAACCCTGAAGCCAAGGTCACATATCCACACATGTCTTACACTGGATGCTAAAACTTGAACTTTAGCTTTAGAATGAAAGATGTCCACAGACAAGTTAGAGTATGTTACATGATTTCATGAAAGAATGATGTATTGCGTCATCAGAAACGAAGAAAACGAAATAATGACTATTGTTTGACGTAAAGCAGTCGAGTTTTGTAGTTCTTTTCGTGCTTGGGTTATTACCCGAACCCCGAAGTTGCGTAGTGTCTGTAAACAAATTTTTGGGTTGATTGTGCTGGGTCAAAATGTTGGGGTACTGTAAACACATTCTTGGGTTACTCATGCTGGGTAACATGAGATGTAAGGGGGTCATTCACAAATAAACATCTTGTTGGGTTATTTTGACCCAGCAACAGGTTACTTTTTCATTCTTTGCGGAACTTTCTGGATTCTTCACTTCTGACTCGAGGAGCACGACGCCACTCGGATCGGGCAGTGTTTTATGGTAAGTTAATATGAATATTTACCATAAAAATGCTGGGTTGTTTTAACTCAATTTTGGGTCAAATATGGACAAACCCAAACGTTAGATTGAAAATGCTATTTAAAAATGTAACCCAACGGCAGGGTTTGTCCATATTTGACCCAAGATTGGGTTAAACCAACCCAGCATTTTTTAGAGTGCAAGTTATGGTAACGGAAAGCCAATTTCACTGTTCAACATTCAGTCTTTGATATGGAAGTGTGAGGGGTAACGTATTTGTTCTGTAAAACATAAAATAGCCACAGCTAGCCGGTTAGATTTTTTGACAAAATGCTGCGTTAGTTGTAAACCAACTCAGCTACTTCATGAAATATGCAGTTTAAATTGTAATTTCATCACGTAAATATCGTATTTATTGTGGACGTTTAGTAATTAAAAGTGAGGAAAGCGTTTCGAATGAAACTATAGTGACCTAGCGGCATGGTTAAGTTTGGGTTATTTTTAACCCTGCATTTTTTCGAGTGTAAAAGCGAAGGCAGAAGTGCCTTTCACCCTGTTACGACTTGATAAGATTTTGGAAACATTATTTCAAGGTAAAAAATGTTACATAGTGTTCAAGGAAGAAAAGGAATAGTCGAATAAAGCCGTCATTTTTGTTTGTTTTTCCGCATTAAAAGTATTCTCGTCGCTTGATAAACTTATAGTTGAGCCACTGTAGTCACATGGAATATTTCAACATTTTCTTCATTGACTTTCTGGGCCGTCAATCCCTTAAGCAGCCTATGTAGCAGTGATCCACCTCTCATATTTCATCAAAAATATCTTCATTTGTGCTCCGAAGACGAACGAAGGTCTTATGGGGTTGGTACAGCATGGGGGTGAGTAATTATTAATGACTTAATTTTCATTTTAAGGTGAACTAACCCTTTAAGGCAACTGAGCTCTGTACTAATATTGACACAAACAGGAAATCGATCAGCCGGTTGAACACGAAGCTCTTCCTCTTTTAATGAACTTGACATTCCTCACAGATAGTCTCCATGTGCTTTCTCGTTAGTGCGTGTCTAAAAAGCAATTGCTGTATATCTTTAGATGAAAAACATGTCCATTCTCGGATAGGTCCAGCACACAGTGTGACACCCTAAATGAGAGCTTTCAAAAGCATCCAAGTAACAGCAGCCCAGAGATTCTTCTGTCAGCGTTAAGATGACCTGTCATTTGTGCGTGTGTGCGAAACAGAGAGAAAAGCAGAGAAAATACTGATACCCCGTGCTTGCCTGACAGCGCATAATTAATTTCCTTGAGAATCAAAGCCCATCCGTTTTGTTTGTGTGCTGTAGAAGTTCATGCACTACCTGAAAGAAAATGATAAGGCAACGCGTTTTTATGCATTTTAAAACATAGCTTATCACCCTCTATAAATTATCTACCAAATACATTTAACGCTTGGTTTCCAAATATACTGTAGTGAGATGCCTCCTCAGTAGGCAGCATGTCAGGCTCAGGTGCATATTAATTATTCTGCCTCCCAAGATGTGTTTTGGACAAATGTGTCATATCATTAATGTAATTAATTTTGTGTTTCAAATTTGAATCTTTTGTTGCATAGAAGCATACATAAATTTAACTTACACTCTTAGAAGAAAAGGTTATAGAACCTCAAAAGGTTCTATCAGCGCTACATATTTAGAACCCATAAAAGTTTCTATACAGAAGCCTTTTTAGGGGTTCAATAATGAGAATTTAGGGTTCTTTGAAAAGGTTAGGTTCATTCATTATCATTTGTTTTGTCCTTTCCGGATTAAATATTTCATATTATTGACGAACATCAAGACCCTAAAATGTATTTATGAATGCATGTGAATGATCACAAATTCAAGAGGGTTAGAAAATGTATATATTTATATCATTTTATGTAGTTAATCAATATCACACGAAGAGTGCCATTTCAGTTTTTCTCCTCCAAAAATCAGCGTGATTAAAATGTGATATTAATTTACTACAACAGTTTAATAAACAATAATTTAAATACAACTACAAAATGTTGCAGAATAATGTAATATATGAATGAATAATAGCCTATAAAGAACCTTTGTGCCAAAAAGGGTTCTTTCTTGTCATTAGAACCTCTTTTTAGCATAAAAGGTTCTTTGGAGTCGAGTAAAGAACCCTATGAACCCCAATGAACCCTTTTTTTCTAGTGTCCTTTGCTTTACCTTTTATCAGTTCCATCACATTCGACAATTTCCATTGTTTATTTTTTAGAATTGTGTTTTTCTTTTGGTCTCCTATAGATTTAGAGAGAAAGGCTTGTGATTTATGTTGTGAAGGAATGCTGAGGTGGTGCTAAATATGAACAATGCGTTGATCTGAAGGCCACAGAGTTGTTGTTGTGAGTGATAGATTAATCCATTAATGACTCTGTGGTGACTGGGTTCAATGATACACAACCAGGAGGGCCTTGACCGTGTCAGAAACAGAGGCCAGCATGTGAATGAGCTTTAACCCTTGTGCTTTTTGACCCCAGCAGGTCACAGACAGTCTGAAACACTCCAGACTCTTGCTCAAGAGAAGACTCTCCAGATGCTCCAGTGCAAGTGAGTGGACCGAACAGTTTTCATAAATCATCTAAAGACTCGGGGCAGTGGTAATGAAGGAGACTTTGGCTCTGGGTCTGCGGTGAGCTCTGTCTTCGGGTCCTCAGCGGGCTGAACTGGCTCTGGGTTCGGGGTGGACATATGGAGATGTTGACTGTTTTTCGGTTCTGGGTGAGCAGGGCAAATGGGCAAAGGTAATGTCAATGGATACATTCCAGGCAACGGAGAATGGCTTTCTGCCATGTAAAATTCTCCATCTCTGGCAAGTCCAATCAGGGCATAATAATGAGCTCTCTTATCATCGATCTTAAGATGCTTTTTTATCTTATATTGAAAAAGGAATACTTTTGAATTCATTACCAAATGAATAGTGTCCGATAGGGAGGTAACTGAAATAACATGAATGATTTTGTCGTGTAACCAGCTCTATGTAAAATTAAAGGGGTGATGAAGTGAGAAATCAAATTTTCCTTGAGCTTTTGACATCTAAGAGGTCATCATATTATATCCTGTAAGTTTCAGAACTGAAACGGCCAGAACGGCCTTGTTGTTGTAGCACTGGGCTAATCTTGGCCATGCCGCAACTCTATCCCTCTTCTCCTCTTTAATTTCCTGCTGAGCTGCTGTTTCAGTGAAAGATTATGCAAAAATCCTAAATCCAGACGTAAGGTTTATTTTCTCACCTTTATAAGATTTTCTATAGAATAATCTGAAAGACACAACCCTTACGAAAAAGAAGTTTATTCAAGTGTGCCATTAGTATACTTCTTTTAAACTAAAAATAAGAAAGTATACTTTCAGTTTATTTTTCCTGTACTTCTCAGAAGTATACTATATGTACTTCTCAGAAATATACTTCAAATTACACTTAAGTGTACTTGACTTATACTGAGAGAAAAGCAAGTATATTTGTCCTGTTCTTGTACTCAATCTTTTGATCCAGAAATACTTAAAAGTATAATTAAGTATTCAAAGTATACTTGTATAAGTATTACAGTAAAAAAGTAAACTAGTATACCCATAAATTCACTTGCAGTACACATGAGATACATAATTATGAACTAGTTGTGCACTTACTGCACTTATAGTACACTTAAACGTATACTTTTATGTACTAAAAGTGGGCTAATTTAGTCCCAAGCGGTATTAAAATAGTACACTTTCAAGTTTACTACTAGTACATAGTGACATTAGTATACTTACTACCTAATGTATACTTAAAATATACTTGAACATTACTTAAGTATACTACATAAAATGAACTTGAAATATACTTCTTTTTCGTAAGGGAAGACACCCTTTTTCTGGGTGAATGACTTTGTGTGGAGCACTAAACGGGGAAAAATGTACATTTACAATCAATATTGATCCTTTTATGCTATTCTTTCTTTCTTTGCTCTAATTGTCTTTTTGTAAAAGTAACATTTTATTGCATTTTATCCCTTTTACTTTAGTGTAAAAAAGCCCATGTTTAGTTTGTGTTCATTTATTATAAAGGCTATGCAGGTTTTATGTTGGTCATTGATTTGAATGTGATCATATTTTTCGGTTTGGATCTTAAACTGTAGGGCTGTCAAGTGATTAATCGCATCCAAAATAAAAGTTTATGTTTACATTATATATGTGGGTGCACTGTGTATAATTATTTATAATATAAAATATTTATATATAATATAAATTATATATAAATCTATATACAGTACATGAAAATATGTATTAAATATATACGTATTTATATAAAAATGTGTGTATTTAGATATAAAATATATATATATACACACACACCATACCACTCATCTATAGGGGACCTTCATTTTTCCACATTCACTTTTTCCACATTCACTTAATGCAATTGTTTAAATGAATAGTTTATTTACATGTTTCGAGTGCATGGTGTTCTTCTTGCTGAAAATATCCTGGCTCCCTCTGCTGGTAAATAAATAAAGGGCACTTTCAATGCACTGGGAACTTCATTATTTTATCGAGTTTACGCTTTCTTTTGCATAATGCAACAAGTCTTATGTAATTCATTTGTCGCATGACATCAAAATTGCCAAGTCTTGATTTTTTTATTCTTTGTTTTATTCTTGATTATTGCAGCATTTATTATATAGGCTATGATTTATCCATGCAATTAATGTGCCCTCATAATCTTTAATAAAAATAACTTCCCTTCCCTCTGGCAGCAGCATCTCTTCTCTTCTCTGATGATGTGTTACTGGCGTGAGGGCGGGTCAACCTGTCAATCACATGAGATCACAGAAAATGCAAACCACAACCATTCAATCAAATCCCCATGGAAAAAGTCCCATCCTGCAGTTGTTCTTGTTCGAGAAGCGGTTTCACTGGGACACGCGTCACAACAGGGAAGAAAAGACTATTGTAACTTCTGTTTCATGCCGACTTCAAGCTGTCTTTAGTGACAGCCGCCAACTTTTGACAACCGCCAATTTCTTTACACAGTGACAAGAACAGCATTACGAAGTGGCCCTTCCTGCTGAGCTGTGGGATTTCTTAGCCCCCATTGTCATGGAAATTGAGGACCACAGGTGAGTCCCACTAGGAAAGGAGATATTGAGGTTGCACAGCTTGAAATGGTTGTGTGGGCGAATGAAAGATATGGACGGACTGCCAGTCATGGCTGATGATCTAATCTGACCTTTATAAAACTGGCATCAAACCTGGTTTATGCACCAAATGTGAATATGCACCAGTAAATAATAACATAAATTTCATAAGCATATATGACTTCAAATGGCTTGGCATAAAGTGAAACTACGTATGGTGTTTGATTGGCCTTTTTTTATTTTGATGTCTGTATGCTTTCATTGTATAGAAAAGCAGAATGGATATTCAACTTGCCTTGAAGTTCAATGGAAGAAAGTTTGGAATGACGTGAAGTTGAGTTAATGACAGTGTTTCAAAACGAGGTCAGTTCTTTGACAGCACAAATACAAAGCAGTAATGTATGGTTTTCCAGCGCGTGGGAGAACCTCACTTTGGAGACCAAGTAAAAGCGGCAAAAAGAACATCACATTCTCGACGTCATCCTTTTTAGAGCCTCTGTCTGAGAGGAACAGAAGGTTCAGGAGAGAAAAGACAAGGATTCAAGAGGAGAAAAAGCCAGAACTGGAGGAAATGTTTATGCCTGTTCCCCCACTCCAGTCTGACAAATGAGAGTGGTGTAATTGCTAACTGGATGCTTCAGATGTTTTTCCCATGTCCAACCACAGTTTGCTTTAGCAGGAAACGTCATGATTTACAGATAACTGATCCAATCTGCCCCCTTTGAAGGTCCTCCTCCATACCAGCCCGTTCTCATCCCAAGGCGCTTTTGACCATGCATCAACATCTGACGCACATGGCACCCTTTAGCGTCAATATGAGAAGCGCCTCCTAGTGGTCAACCCTACCCGCGTCATTTAACTGACGCTAAACTGCCATGTGCGTCGGATTTAGACGCATGGTCAAAAGTTTCATTTATGCCTGGTTCAGATTACACAATTTTTTTTTTTGTCTGTTACGATAGTCACTGTGTCAGATTACGCGATTTTGACTCATAAAATCTTGTCGTGTCGTGGTTGAGAAACATGTCAGACTACACGTTGCTTCCTGACCAGTCATTGTGTGCCGTCTTTAACGAGGTGCGTGATGTCATCGAAAAGGCGAAACTAGTAGCGAGGTAAAATATTGTTTTCTTATATATTTTTACTTTTAATTTTAACGTTAGCACCATCGTCTCTCTTTCGTTTCGCCATTTTTGAAAGTTGTGTTCGGAAAAGCTTCTGTGCTCCTATTGGTCAACCTCATACATGTGACGGAACCGTTAAAAAAATTGAACATGCGCTAGTCTTTTTGTCGTGATGTCGTGAAGCATCGCAGACGCGACGTAGGTTGTCGCCCACTATGACACACTATACAAGATTATACGATCGATTCTTGCGTCCCGACGCCCGTTGTCGTTTACGAATCCCCACAACACCCTACGTCAAACGGATCGTGCCAAAATCGGACTAAAATCTTGTAATCTGTACCAGGTATTAGATGACGCCCTTGGATGAGAATGCGTTGTCCATATACGGACCACAGGTTTTGGAGTTTTCTGAAATGGACCTGGAATGGGAACCTCTAGACAAACTCACTCAAGTTTCACTTGAAGTGCACACTGAAATCTAAATTCTAATGAAATATTATCATATAGATGAGTATTGACATCTCTGATGACATGTTTACTGGTTTGAGGGCGGGACAACCTGTCACTCACATGACATCACAGCAACAGCAAACTACAACCATCCAATGACTTCCCGGTGTACCAAACCAAGACCCGCCTACAGGCTTTCTTGTTCAAGAATCTGATTCACTCAGATATAGGGAAGCAAAGACTATCTTCTGTTTCATGACGACTTTAAAATTTATTAATTTAATTGCATATCTAATGAAATATCAAAGAACACCGTCACTTGTTAAATAACACTTTCACTTGTGTAGTGTATTTCATCAAATTAGTTATTATACACACATGTTCCACTTTTGACAACGAGAATGTACAGTATTTTGGGTCGGCCGTTTTGGTCGTGGCAATAATTATGTGCTGGACTGAGGGTTCATTAAAAGCAGATATAAACACACACACATTGATGTCACTTACACTAAACATACCCCAGAACCCCACTAAACATAGACAGAAACTTTACTATCCCTTAAATGGGGCTTTAGGTGGTACAGACAGCACCAATTATTAATTCATTATGGGTTCACAGAGCACCCACCGACCCCTTTTATGTCCTGTTTTTATAGAACCGAGCATTTCATATAATACCCAAGAGCTATATGAGTCATCTATGTGATATAGATCTATAATAAATCCTCTAAAACGACCCTCGGAAGTCTAAAAATACATTTAAGTGCCCACAAATGCATCATTAGAGTGAGGGTGTGCTCGGTGATTGGAACAGATATACATTTCCTGTACTTACACTACATGTGTGTGTGTTTGTGTGTCACTAGCCTGCTCCCGACCCTATAGTGATGTCAATATAATTCTCAATAATTCATAATTGAGGAGATATGTTAGCCTGCTAAGGATGTTAACATTGCATGAGAGACACTATATCCTCATTTTCGCATACATTACACACACACAGTAAACACTTTATCTCATGTAACCGATGATGTTGATAAATGTAAAGCGGTAATGAGATTGTTGTTATACAAGGTCTTGTTTGTTTGTTTGTTTTTTTTGGAAAGAGAGCAAGCAAATGATGTCCCCAAGCATTACAGAAGTTCACTGTAAAAAAAAAAAAAATAATTGGTTTAACTGGTTGCGTTAAAATCTTTTAGTTCATTGAGATTAAAAAATGTTAATACAATGAATGAGATTGGTCTAATCAACAGAAACTCAAAATATTATGTTTTCTAAACCACATACATATTTTCATAAAGTTGATTTGACTAATTAGATTTCATTCAATAATTCTATTGAAATTAGAACTTTAACATTATTTTGATGAAAACTACTGCAAGCAGACTCTTCCTAGAAAAACAGAAATATTTATTTATATCAATACCATAAATCATATGCTTCAAGTGTAAAATACATCATGATACACTCTTAGAAAAAAAGGGTTCAATGGGGTTCTATAGAAGAAGCATAGGGTTCTTTACTCAACTCCAAATAACCTTTTATGCTAAAAAAAGGTTCTATAATGACAAGAAAGAACCCTTTTTGGCACAAAGGTTATTTATAGGCTATTATTCATTCATATATTACATTATTCTGCAACGTATTTAAATTATTGTTTATTAAACTGTTGTAGTAACTTAAATCACATTTTAATCATGCTGATTTTTGGAGGAGAAAAACGTGTGATATTGATAAACTACATAAAATGATATAAATATATACATATCTAACCCCCATGTCTTGAATTTTGTGATTATTCACACGCATTTTTAGGGTCTTGATGTTTGTCAATAATATGAAATATTGAATCCGGAAAGGACAAAACAAATGAAAATGAATGAACCCAAAAGGTTTCATATAGAACCCTTTTCCTGGTTACAAAGAACCCTAAAGAGTTCTGAGTAGAACCTTTTATGGGTTCCAAATACGTAGCGCTGATAGAACCTTTCTAAAACCTTTTATATAGAACCTTTTCTTCTTCACGTGGTACTGATTTATACTGATTGTGTTCTTGACAGGATGATTTCTCTGCAGCACTGTCCTGACATGATAAAAGGTACATTTAAATGAATTCAAATAAACTTTGTATTTTTTTTAAACTTTATTTATTTAACCTGATTTTACCCTTTAGACCAATCAAACTAGACATTAAAAAAAAAAATCTTTTCTTCAAAGTATTCCGAAACACTAACTATTCTCTGTTTGCTATTTGAGCTAACCTGAGATCAGAGTTGCAGAATAGTTTCCACCTCCTGGTTTCCTTTTCTCTGTCTCCCCCTGCTGACTCTGCGCAGTGTTGTCGTGTGTGAAGGTGAGTAAGTGACCCACAAAGCGCCTCCTATATCATTCAGCCACTTATGTCTAAGTGAAGAATGGGAGTCATTGAGAAGCCTTTTCATTGTGTGAATTATTGCTCTGTTTTGTAGTTGCACAGTTGCTCCAGTAGAAGTCAGACTGGTGCGTGTTTCAATCCACCAATTCAATTCAACCCGATGTAAACCTGGCATCACGCATTTGCACCGCATGATACGTTTGGACGTTTGGCTCGACTTTTTAAAATAATCGCTGTCGTCAGTAAAATAACCGCTGTCACTTCGCGAACGGATACACATTTTGCGCACTCTTGCAATTTAACCTTTGTGTTTTCTAAAATGTTTTGAAGTGCTGTCGAAACAAACGTGCATGCATAAGTATAAAAAATGATCTCTCTCTGTCTCTCTTCCAAAGTTTTATCAGACTATATTGCTTACCAGAAATTATTTTACTGCAATTTCAACAAATGCCATCTGTCAACCCTATGGGTAAGTAAATAGTCTGGTAAATCTAGTCCATATCCAGCATTTTGAATTTCTCCGTTATCTGACACACCCAGTTCAGTTATTGTATCATCTAGCCTACTAATAAGCCGATAATACAAATCAGGTGTGTTAAATAAGGGAACCATCCGAAATGTTCAGAACTTGGGTAGCCTACTCAAGGTCCAGGACTGGAAACAACTGGATTCGAGGTTTCCTAAAATAGTGTGACTGTCAATTTTATGTGTAGGCAATTGCACGCGTGCACACACTCACGCCCCAACCCGCCCACCAATTGACAGTAGCGTGGAGAGCGCGCGCATGAGAAACACGCACACCTAACGATTTTTTTTTTTTGCATACACAATCAGATACTCTCACACCTTAGAGTGAGTTTAGATGAGTTACAGTCTCTGTCACCTCTAGACGCGCGTATCTGTTCCGTTAATCGCGTGCGCACTCAACCTGTGCGTAATATTGATGCGGCCACTTGCATCTCCAATCGTTCTTGCGCGTCTGGCGATGCGGCTGTAACGACGCGCCCCCGTGGTTCACTTGCCACTTTTCAGGGGTCTTTTGTCTGTGCAGGTCTAATAATCCTTGATGTGCATGGTTGAATGTCATCGCTTTGCTTTACGGACTACAGTTTCCAGCTGCCGGATCACGCACTGAACCTGTGGTTAGATATGACGCATCGGGCACAGTAGGGACGCGTCTCGGAGAAGCAGAAAGGTTTCAGACAGAAGGGACCAGCGGATTTGGACTACACAGGCGTCATGTCTAACACGATCAAGAGCAAAAAGGAAAAGGAAATCATTACGGAGTATGAGAGCCAAGTGAAAGGTAAGAACACTCGCACCTGATGGGTACCTGGAGACTTGTCTTTCATCTGATGCACCTTATACGAACCCTGTGTACGCGTTAACATAAGATTCCATTATGCATTTCAATTGCATTATTGCTTCCCATTTAATTTGAATTGTTTTTTTTTTTTCATTAGACCACTTAATTCTGCTGGAAATCCATGTTA